GTGTGTGTGTGTGTGCGCGTAAAGTATGGTATAGTTTTTTTACTTATTAATATGACAGATTTTTTGTTACATCAATGTTATTTTTAGTGGATAATTGAGTAGCATCTTTTACTTATTAAACATATCTATTTACTTACACCCGCCTTCCTATATATTATAGAAATCTTATTTCGGAAATATTGAGGCCGGTAGACGAAAATAGATAAATATCATGAATAATATTATAAAGAAATAAATGGGGCGTCTACTCAAATACTAGTATCTACTAAAAATAACATTTAAGTCATAATAAACATGCACACACACACACACACACACACACACACACACACACACACACACACACACACACATATATATATATATATATATATATATATACACACATATACACACAACAATATACACAATATACGAGATTTTATTTGATATTCTTAAATGCAGAAAAAGTTTTAAATTGACAGGATTAATACAATAATCGTTTTATAATATCCGGTACTAATTTACGAAATAAAATTTTAAAAATCTTGTATTATGCTTTACCTAAAACCTGTTAAAGACTAACATTACGCACTGACATCGCATTTTAAGAGATATATTTACCGAAATTATACAAACTTATCTTGAAATACTAAAGAGTCAATTTATTCAATAAAATCGGTATTGGCTTCAACCACGGTCTCTAGACGACTTCTGCAACTCTTTTGAATTGTCTCCTTCTTTAATTAGTGAATATTTCCATAATCCTTGCCTTCAATTCATGTTTGATATTAAAAGGAGCTTTGTTGGTCTCTCGCTCAACTGCGGCCTACACATAATAATAAAGGGAGTTGCAGTCTAGGGTTTTAGGTGATCAGATATAAGGGGCGATGCGGTCGCAGAAAATGTCTGACAGCCATGACTGTGTTTTGCTTGTGTGGCATGTTAACAGCCACAGGGTCTTCCAGCAACCACCTTCTTGACCCAGAGCAGCACTATCTCCTCATGGCATATGATATAAGCGTTCGTATTGAGTCTGAGGCCCTGTGGGAAAATGAATAGAGATTGCATCGCCATCAATAGTGATCACCAATGTTGGTATTGGAGCTTCATGCAATACAATAAGCCGTTTCCAAATTTCTGGCCGAGTGAAATTTGTCATGGGTGATCTTTTTCTTACAGACGGTGCTCAATTGAGCCTACTATACTACACATTTGAAAAATCAAAAACAGACAACGCGCAGGCGCGAGATTGAAATATGAAATGGAGAAAATTTACCCATTTTACCAGTTTTGGGGGTCTTTTGATCTTTTTAGTTTCTTTTCATGTTTTGTCTGTGTGACATGTATTATTTGTGTGGTTTCAAATTTTAGTAGTAGCGTTTATTCTGAGCCTTTGCATTGTGAACACGATTGGAATTCGAGTGAGTCTCTTTCTATTAAAAAGAAAAGAAAAAACCCTTCAGCGGTTGATAGAGAAATGTATGATATACAGGGTCACCTTTATAGCGAGAGGTTTTCGGTAATTTGATTTACATAGAATTCTTTAAATTTTAAAATAATAAATAAAACATTAATAAAATTTTCCTTTTTTCGTCAAATTAACACAATATATATATATATATATATATATATATATATATATATATATATATATATATATGCGTGTGTCGGTGTGCGTTTCTTTGTCAAATCAAAAGAAAGATTATCAAACGGAAAAGTTCCGTAGTTTTCAATAACACATGCCCTCATATTACCTATTAAACCAGTTGAAAGTTCATGTGGGTACTGATTCAGCTATTGTTTATCCAAACTTAGTCAGTGCCCGCTCTAATTACGGGCACCTCATGATCGAATTATTGTTGAATGACGATCAACACTTAATTAAACAAATATCACATTCGGCTCAAAAATTCGATTCGTGCTTGTCGTATAATTTTACACTTGATATTTCATTGCCAATATATTGCCTTATATTAAGCAAATCGAAAAATATTTCCCCATTCGTTGGTGTTCAACAATGTTACATTTTGGTGTGCACTTTTGGGGAGAGGAAATTCTTATTGTATACAACAGTTTTCTTAAAATCGATGGTTCAAATGTCTGAGCGAGTGAATCACGTGGGTCTTGGCGAAGACAATATTTTTTGAAAATCTACGAACTGGCGCTACATAATCACAAAGAAATAATAGTACCAAGTAACAGAAACTACATCAGTTGAGGACTTTCAATATTAGCAACAACTAAAATGAATATCACATGAAACTTGAAGAGAAAGTAATGATATTATGAAGATGTTGACGTTCCACACTACTTAAAACAACAGGTTATGAAGGAAAACCCTATCAATAATGGAAAGAGCAATAACAGCTACTGGACTTGTGAAACATATTTTCTTGAAAATTTGTTTAAAGAGAAAGATTTTATAAGTTTCAACCATCAGTAATAGTGGCTTCTCATTCAGTGAATGCCAAATGTTTTCCTTATATGTCTAATACTATCATTATCATTAGATGAAGGAGAACAGATATTAAACTCTGACCCCAATCCGAAGACCAATGAAAAGTGTTCCTTGAGTAGCACTGATTGTTACGTCAAGGAATGCCAAATTTTTCCTGATAAAGAAACGGCTAATTTTGCCATTAACCTTAGAGATGAAGCTGAAACGTTCTACACTTTGATGCCAGCACGATGATCAAGGAGAAAGAAAATTGTAACTCTTGTAGCACTGGCTACTCGGTCAATGAATATTGAAAGTTTCTTTATAAGGAAACGGATAATATTACCATTACCATGAGAGATTAAGTTGAGACGTGCTACACTTGATGCCAGCACGATAACCAAGGAAGGGTAAAAGTTTAACTCTTGTAGCATGAGCTACTCGTTCAATGAATATTGAACTTTCCTTGTAAGGAAATGCCTAATATTATTATTGCCATTCTATTGATATGTATTGAAAATCAGGAAGAAATTACACAGTCGAAATATCAAGATCGATATAAAAAATGGCGTATTTGACGGTAAATTCTTTTTCTCAAATTCTTTTTCTCTTTTTTTTATTTACGTTGCGTTTTATCTTCTTTTTTCAAAAAATGTTTCTTATATTTTTCTATCTTTTTCATTTATGTATTTTTTATTAATGCTTCATTTTTTTCTCTTTTCTTTTTCATATATTATATCTGAAGGTAAGTTCTTATAAATTAATTGACAGAATAACAGACATAAGAATATACAACTTCCAAAATATGGCCCAGCAAGAGATGTTAAAAAGAAAAGGAAAAAGAAAACATCTCTAGAATCCGTGCATCACCCTTCAATTCAAAGAAGAACGACGGCCAAGAAAATTCTGACAAGATATCACATCAACCTATCCAAACTATACAGCTACAGATTCTTAAAAACATTGTAAGATTTTATTTGATATTCTTAAATGCAGAAAAAGTTTTAAATTGACAGGATTAATACAATAATCGTTTTATAATATCCGGTACTAATTTACGAAATAAAATTTTAAAAATCTTGTATTATGCTTTACCTAAAACCTGTTAAAGACTAACATCCACAAGTGGTATAAGTATTAACGGATTTTAATCCCAAAGATTTTAATGATCTGCATCATAAAATGTTTTATATAATTGTAAAGACATTTGATTAGGAATTGAAGGAGATATCGATTTTGGTTGGTTGGTTGTTTTTTTAGCGGCATATCAGCGTCTATGGATTATGTAATGTTGAAATAGTTTGTAAAAAATATTACGTTTTCAACTACAGATAAAATATAATTCTACTATAAAATCTATTGCTAGTCATTTTGCTTTAAAAATGTATTCTTGGTAATTTTATTATGGATATGAATTGCTGGCAATTTTTTATATATAAATTGTATTGCTGGCATATTCATAGTATTTCACTTTTGTTTGGGGCTTCACTATTTGCCATACCTCGGACCCTAACAGGTGCTACCACCCAGGATCAGCGTGAACCTAGGAACAATAAGAACTTCTCCGAACCTCAAAACCTCCACTCTCTTGATCCGATGCCTTGCAGCCTACCGGATGCCGTTTTTCGTTATACCTAGGATTATCGAGTTTGGTAGATAATTTCAAAACAATCATTGAAAATAGTAATGAAGTACTACATGCCTGAATCCATATTCTAATATGGATATAAAAATCGATTTTCAGCTACGAATAATCAGTCAGTAAATAAATATATTTGTAACTATTTTTTAATATATGTATTATCCTGGTTTTTATATATGCGCAGATAAATGTGCTGTTTATAAGATTCTATATTTTGATTCAATATTCTTGAATAGGTTAACTCTATAAAATTTACTACGCATGTTTATATGTGGTACGAGGCCGAAATTAGGGAGCACCCAGTGAGAATCGAATTCATTACTTGGTCATAAGGGATCTAACGAAACGAGCTTGCTAACTATTAAACCATATCTTATAGATTATATATTTATAGATTTATAGATACAGAGATTATATATTTATGCAGGACGACAGGAGGAATTTTGATCTTTGCTTGTCAGTATTTTGCCCATTCAAATGTTTCACTTATAGAAAAATACAGAAGTACGTAATTGTAATAATCGTAACGCTTATAGATTTAGGATTTTATAAAACATTACAGTGTACTTTATTATTAAACACTTTCCTGGTCTGAGGAAAGAAAGACTTTCAAAAGTTGTAAAAGTGCTTACGCAAGCCATTTCAGCAAGTGAAGTAGCTGGAAAGCTAATGTAATTTCATCTTCCAGACTATGTTCGCCATTCTATAGAGTTTTGTTGAAAAAAAAAAACATTGTAAAAGTGTCAATCATTGCTTGACTTTTGCAATGATGAAGACGCTTTTTACATTTTTCTGTTAGTCAACACATCCACTTCCAAGTTTATTTGTAGAGAAAGTGAGAAGTTCTCCCATTTCTGCTTTCATTATTCAGTGAATCAAAGTGTCGTAAAAGTTAACTTTTGCCCACGAAAAATATTTTTTTTGTGTTTCTGCTCTTAGGCTTCGATTTTATCAACATGTTTACAACATTGTTTCTATTGTTACTTTCTTTGTAACACTTGTTAGTTTTTTTATGTCTTCAGTTGATTTCATTTTTCCTATTTTTTATCTATTTTTTTCTTTCTTTATTTTTGCTACCGTTTTCATCTTTTTTCATATTCTTTTTTTACAAGTTTCTTGATTTTTTCCTTTCATATTTATCTCTTTTATTCATTATCATCTGTTATTATGTTTTCTTTTATACTTATTGTCTATTCTTATTCTTTAAACATATCTTATTTTCATTCTTTTGTTCCTTTTTCATTCTTTCTTACATTCACATTTTTTTCTTTCTTTATTGTTTGCTATATAATCGGCAAATCCAATTCGTGTGCATCTATCCGCATATATGCGTGGATATATTTGTATAACTTTGTCAGTGTAAAACAGAGAAGAATATATTAAAGATTAGAGAGAAAAAAAATCTACTAGCTAAAAAGATAAGATATATTTAATAGGGACACATAAAGATTACAGATGCTGCAAAAGATTTGTTGAGGTGACTTTTCAATGTCCCGTGAATTGACGAATCGACAGTTAGCGAGAAGGTCATATTTGCTGTAGTAAAAATACTTTTTTTCTCGCAAATCCTTCAGTAAGCATCTTCAACGTACGGTTGATGTGACTTTAATGCTAGGATAGAGGATTTTCTTTCACTCACTATATTCTCTCCATCATATGTTGTCGACAAAATGCATCTACTGTGGACAATAAAAACACGCCATGCAGAGCATATGCATTGTGACTATTACTATAAAAACAAAATAAAACTTTTTCATGGGGAAAAACTGATGAGTTGATTTTCAGTAAGAAAGAGGGAGAATGCAACTTGGCCTGAATATTGCCGTGGAGACAGACGCAGCGACAAATTCGAGAGGTTCTACTACGGAACTAAAAATTTAATTGCCAAGGTAATAATGTCACATACGAAAGAAGCACAAATTCTAATAATTAAGCAAGACAATTTCATCAGTTTCTTTTCCTCCATCGTGTAATGGCGTCCCTCCTTTACTATTGAAACTGCCTTTGCTTTAAATCTTGACACATTCGAATTATTGATTTTGTCTTCGATTTTTATATTGTTATGCATTCAGATGCCTACTATCTTGGGTAAAGGGGTAACTATGATTCCGATTAAACCAGAATACCGTCCTGGGTATGACGATAAATTACATCCGAAGGAAGGTCTTTGATCACAATGTTTTGAGGAGTGTGAAACTACCTCTTAATTGCTGCTGTTCGCAGGTCCACCCTGACCCGGGAATGGTAGTACCTGTTAGGGGTCCCAGCTATGGGTAAATAGTTAACACCCAAACTGGGGTCAAAACATTATGAAAATGTAAATATAAGTTTTAATAACAGAAATACATTTTGTAAAAAAATATTACTCGCAATAAAATTGTTGGCATTAAATAACACATCGAGTTGATAAGCTGTAAAACAAACAAAACCAAACCAGAATATATTCTTCAGAGATTGAATTCATGAATACTATATTTTTACCTTTTTTGTGTCCTTCTTTGTATTCGTTTTAATTTTGTATAATTTATTTTTCTTTCTCTGAATGAGCATAACAATTCAAAAGGAGAAAATAATTGCATATTTTATTTTCATATTTACTGAATATAATCCAATATGTTTCGAAGCCCTGTGTGTAGTAGAAAGTGTTTACACTAACCTTTAAAATAGAACATAAAGTCCACGTCTTATATGAATACCGACCTCTAACAATCAATAACTCACTTTTCGACAAGCAGGTCTGTATAAAATATTAGTATTTAATAAAATGGTCATTAACAAATTCTTCCTGTTTCGATCCGAGTTTTCTTCAATTTCACTCCCAATTTTGAATTGTTATCACATTTTTTTACCATTATATTTTTATCGTGCGATTTACGAGTAGTTTTAATGGAATAGAAAAATAAACTTACAAATATCTGCAAAACTGCTATTTCTCAATAACACTCTTTTTGAAAACCTCATCAAATGACTGGCTTCAAACGTGATTGTACTTGAAGATAAATTTATCGCCATATTTTAATTCTTAATTTGTTCAGAACGACTTTTTTCCGAAAGATTATTCATCTAATACATGTATATTAAACTAACATTAGATTTGTATCATCTAAGATAAGCGGAAAAGTAAGGACACCGAAAAACTGGCATATGTGAAAGTCATCGCAAATTCATGTTTCTAATAGCCTCGTCAGTTCAAGACTTTTACATGGATATCATATATGGCGCCTTTAGAAATAAAAAAAAATATCTGGTCTATACAACCTCTTTCTCAGATCTATGGTTGAAAATGGCTTTTAGTAAATGAATCCTTTTAGCCCCTGTGACGATCATTCTTCTTTGAAACTCGTAGACTGGCGCTACAGAATCACAATGAACTCTACTAAATAACTAAATCTCTTAAACAACAACAACAAAAATGAAATTGATATTAAATGTAACTCGAAGAGAAACTACTGATATAATGAAGATTTGTACATTCCACACTACTTTAAACAAAAAGTTAGGAAAGAAACCATCATTTGTATTGTAAAGATCAATAGAAATTATTGGATTTAAAAACTTATTTTTTCTGAAAAATTGTTTTAAGGGAAACAATTAATCCGAAAGTAACACTGGCTGATCGGTAAAAGAATATTGAATTTTTCATTATAATGACACGGTTTATATTACGATTAGCATGTCTGTAGATAACGTCGATATATATATATATATATATATATATATATATATATATATATATATATATATATATTAAATAATATCAATTTATTCTGGTTCACTACACGTACTATTAATAATTATAGAAATCTTCGATCATACAAAACAATGGTCAACGGTAAGTAAAATGTTTGAAATGGATTTTGTCATTCTAGCGAACACAAGATGACATAAAAATGGATAAGTTGCAGAGAATTTAGGCCAGATTAAGATGATTTAGCAAGAATAATACCGATCGTAGGAACATCAGTGAAAATCCCGAGGAACTGTAAATCTGAGGGAATATCCAGACTATTGAATGTTTCTTATTGAATGGCTGTTTCGTTTGGAATTTTACAAAATGAAAACAAATGTATTTTGTTATTTGGTTGTTATCCTAAACCAAACTGCTCAGTTGTTTTGTTAATCCTTATATATTTAACGCCTTCTTCAACGTAAAAAATATATCGATCATTTTTCCCTTTGTGTCACTTAAGTAAAAAATTTCTAGTATCAATGTTTGTACGGCTTAAAAACTGGTTGTGAATACATTTCGTCACAGCATGTATCCGAAGCCTTCTGACTTGTATCAAATCTAAGCTTCACTTATTAAATTCACTTGCAAAGTCATATATCACATAAACATATAACGTTGTACAATCCCATTATTTATAATGATTACTGATTTGCAAGAAGTTCTACCATGATTATTGTTAGACAAAATCTTAGCAACCTTAAATATATAGATAACATTGCATTGACGGTAGACACAGAAAGAAAAAAAGCAGGAAATAATGGACAATGTCGTTATGGAAATTGAGAAGAAGAAAAGTTTAAGCTTCAACTGTGTGAAGATACAATGTGTGATTCCTAGAAAGAAAGAATCCGCCAAGATGTGATCTACGAAGTAGAGTTGTTAGAATCAAGCAAAGTAGAACAATATACACGTACGAAGTACTGTAATAAAGGAAGGAAAATATGACATAGAAATCCGAAGACACATTTGAATAGAGAAAGATCCTTTCCAAAAGCGAAACAAAGGATTGGAAAACAGGGAAATTTCGCTATAAACAAAAAAGACTGTTGAAAGGCTATCAAATATCTATATGGAAGTAAATTCTGGACAATATCCTCACAGATGAATTGAAGGCTTTATTATAAGGTGTTTCTTCTGAAAAAAGCTTGGAATATCATTGCCGAAATAAGTGAGCAATGTGGAATATTCAAGGAAAATAAGAACACGTTAACCTCACGTGCTAATAATCAGAAAAAGGGAGAGTTGAAAATTCAGTGAGGCAAAATGAGAAAATAGGGCTTGGAGATTTGATTGCTTTGCTTTGGATTGTTTTACGGCATATCAACACTTCAATGGGTTATTTAATGTCGACAAAACTTTTATTGCTGGTAATATCATTTTCAAAAACATATTCTTGGTAATATTTTTTTAAAATGTATTGCTGGTTATATTTTTTTTTTCAAAAATGTATTAGTGGTAATAGATTTCTTCAAAAATGTATTTCCGGTAATATTTTGTTTCAAAAATGGATTTTTGCTAATATTTTTTTTTCAAAAAAGTACTGGTGGTAATATAATTTTTCAAAAATGTATTTCTGGTAATATTTTTTTTCAAAAATGTAATGCTGGTAAAAGATTTTCGCAAAAGCACTGTTAGTATTAAAACCTATTTTTATATTTTCATAGTATTTTGACCCCAGTTTGGAGGTTAACCTTTTACCCATAGCTGGGACCCTGGCAGTTGCCACCACATTTGATCAATGTAGACCTGGGAACACCAGCAATTAAGAGGCGGTTCCACGCTCTTCAAACCCTTCTGATCAAAGGTCTTGCTGCAGGATGTAGTTTATCATCATAACCAGGACGCAGAGGTTTTTGAAGATTGCTTGTGGCAGAGAAACAAAAAAAAAAGCGAGAACTGTGAGAAAATATGTTATTAGAATAGAAGTTACGGTTATGCAAAGCTATTTCAAAAATAAAACGATAAGACCTAGTTGCCAATCTAGTCGTACGTTTCAATTTATGCGGTCCAGATACCAAGGATGAAATCTCATTCGAAATCTTCCATGAAAATATTTATAGAAAAGACACAGGGAAGCCACGTTTCGACGGAAAAAGTTCACTGAAATCGCGATACAGGTGAAGATGGATAAAATTACAGATAAATTCTTTTGTCGATAATCTCGAGGCATATTCTAGAAACGTGAAACCAGGCATAATAGCTATTAACAATGGAATAAGGAATGATAGATTTCTAAACGTGGAAGAGGAATTCGGACGAGAAAAATTGATTGATATGACACAGTAAACTAACATTTCTAGCAGAAGCTCGAGCATTTGATTTAATATAATAATTCCACTTCCTTTTAGTGGAAAATTTAAGAGCCGAAACGTTGTAATAAACATGGCGGCAAAGATGAGGACAATAGACCGAATAATGTAAATAATGAGCAGAAAGCGAACTGTTCCTCTCATGTAGGTTAGTATCACCTATGTTGATAGAAAACAAAAATTGTTCACTATGATGACAAAAAGACACTTTTGCAAGGGTTAAAATTTACAAGGTATTTATTGCCCTCATTAACATCTGATTGAGGGAACCACCTCAAACTATGAAAAAATATTATTTGATAGCTCAATG